AAATCATTCCATTGTACAACTAGAAAGCAACGAAATATTTCAACACAAAGAACAAATGTTTAAAATACCAACAAATTGTAAATTAGCTAATAATCTCAAAATTTGTAATAAGGACAAAATTGTAAATCTAAATAAAACAAAATGTATTTTTAAGCTAGTTCAGGGAAAGGAATCGCTGTGTGACTTTAGTAACGCGGAACATATTGAAGAAATAGAAGAGATCGACAAGAGCATAATTCTTCTTAATAATTTTAATGGCAATATAACCAATAACAACATAACTCAACATCTAATGGGCACATATTTGGTGCACTTTTGGAATGACAAAATTTACATAAAAGGCAGAGAATTCAATAACAAAGAAACAACAATTATGAAACCGGGAATACCACTAATACAAATAACTCCAAAATTAGCCAAGCGACTACAAATCCTATCCTTAAAAGCATTAGAAACTCTCCATATTAAAAATACAAAGCATCTAAACGAATTGGCAACGCATTCTACGGCTAATCGCATAGCCATATTCACCCTTATTTGCATCATAATCATCATCATTTTTACTACAAAATTCTTTTGTCGACCAAAAGAAAAAGTTATTCTACAAATACAAGAAAAAGCTCCACAAAAATTAAATAACACAATACCGATGAAAACAATATCACAGCCCAAAAAGATCTATCCGGAATTTAACAATATTCCATATTTTTAACAAAAAAAAAAAAAAAAAAAAAAAAAAAAAAACTGCTCGAGGACTAGCAGGATTTTGAGGAGGGAGAGTTAACTACAGTTAATACAAAACAATATAAACAGCTTACTAATCAATAAATAATAAAATCTAATAACAATAAATACGAAACAATATTTAACCAGAATTGCCTAAATAGTAAATAACAAAATATTTAACAAGAATTGCAACATTGTTCAGTTCAATAATCTAAACATCCGCTCAAACGTCGCAAATGCCACCAACAGCGTCCGTTGTTTGTCTTGCGTGCGCACTTTCGGCCCTTGACGACAAATTGCTTACTTTGCAGATCATGGTCAGTTCAAACCAGATCTGCAGAGCTCTGCCGCGTCGCTGCCTGACACCCACAGCTAGCTTAGGGAATTCTAAAAACCCTTCTGTTCAGTCACAAATTAGAGTTGAATAAAACCACAACGAAATAAAGTTTCTGAGTTTTTAATTAAACGGGAAATTAATTTGTATATAGGACTTTTGCAATGTGTGTGCGGGTGTGTGTGTGTGAGCCCCACGCACACACTCAAGCAAAAGCGAGCACAGTGCACAGGTACCTCGAGTTATGATTTGGTTTTCCACACGTTTTGGTTTCGTTGAGTGAAGCTGCTTTGACGGACCAAGCTGAGCAGAGAACACACACTTATCGCAGTATTTTCTTTTGTATATTTTTCTTGTTTTGCCAATACCCACCAAACCAACCTAAAACACCCACCGCAACCACCACTGTGTACCCTTCTATTTGCAGCAATCGGTCGGCGAGCTCGGAGCAAGATAACTCAGATCTGTCCGAGCACTCGGAGAAATCGCCGCTGGTTAGCGCGAGGTTAGACAATCTAGCTAGGCTCTTCTTTAGCAAGTCGATGCCAGCGGAAACCGGAAGTAGAGATACCATAGATTCAGTACTGACAACAAGGTTGCATTTACTACTCTACTCTAAACTGTACTAAACTAATCTATTTTGTATTTAGCTTGCACCCACACTTGAAATTCAGAATCAGCGTCACTAGTGTACAGATTTCGATGCCAAGTTTTTCTTTTGCTTGCCGAGTTTGTTTTCTTTTTACTTGAGTTTTCGTTCCAGCTCTACAGCACTTTGCATGTCAAAAACGAATAGAAATAAACCTGAAATGCTTTTAATGTATGCCACACGTAGAAAAAATCACCAAACAATTCATTTTATTCGAACTTATTTTGATGTACCACAAGTGCACAAGTATAAACATAAAGATAACGCAAATAATGCGGAGGAAAAACCAACTAATGTGTCTAATGTTTTCAAGAGGTTTGAAAGGCAGCCACAAAAAGTAATTAACTTGAAAGCTTTTGTCGGCAATGATTTCTTAAAATCAAAAAGTATATTGTATGTATACCTATTTCCCTTAACATTAAACAGACTTTTTCCCGCTTGCTGAATATTTTGCCAAACTTTATTTGAAAAGTTTTTCATTCAAAATGAAAAGCCAAAGGCATTGCCAAAGTCAAAGCATTAAGTGCGATGATAGAGTGCATTTCCAAACCACCCCTATCCCTATTTTTCTTTTGTCCTAACGGCAGGTGAAAGTTTTCCAAGGTGAAAATTCCTCAAATTAGATGCCCAGGCACACCATACAAAAATCGCAAATTAAATTATCAACTTGGAAAAGTTCCCTCGAAAAAGGGCGAAAAATTGATTCGACTGTGTGTGTGAGTATCTGTGAGGACTCCTGCCCCCCTCCCTTCGTCCCTCCACGCAATTCTACGTGCTGAGCCGTATGATGAATGTGCAAGCGAGCGTGAGCATCTGTTCGTGTGTGTAAGTGTCTGTCGATGTGAGTGGGTGGGCGTGTGTGTATGAGTTTGTGCGCCCCTAACGAGCAGGTGAATATGCATGTGTTAGTGCCGCAAAGTATGCAATAAAAAATTTCACACACGACCACGTTAATTACGCGCGGCATCCGAATATTTCAACTTCAGTTCCCCGCCAATAGAGTTTGTTTGACTGTAAAGTATCTATCCATGTTGTTATATATCTAGGCATTTCCCAGAAGGGTTTGACCCTGGAGCTGTTCGGTAATTGGCTTTGATAAATAAAAAAAGGTTGCTTCGCAATTTCACGCGGCTTTTAAAGGGACTTTTATTTTAATTATCGCTTTATTTTTACTCAATATTTGGCAATTCGTCCCATAATCTAGTATATGTGAATATAAGTTCTATTACCTTATTTAGTTTTCTTGTGAAGACGATTGATTTAGATACTAACACATATCTTAATTGTTTTTCAAATTATTCTATAAGCTCCTTAGAGTTGACTTATTCATTGCAGACAGTCTAGAAGATTAATTCAATTTATTTCCCACTTCATTGAAGAGTTCACACCCTAAGCGTTTCCCCAATTTTTCCGTAGGATTTACCCTTCCGATTCCCACCCACTTTCCAGAGTCGACAAACAACAAGTGTGTCGAGTGTTTGGCAAATATTTAAGCTGCAATATCACCAAGAGGGAAAACGGGGGAAAGTCACCTCTCCGTTTTGCAACAAAAATTAGCTTAAGTCAACAAACAAACAGGAGAAACACTCTTCAGCAAACACACACTGTTGGATGCTAAAACCCGTTACAGCTGCAATCGGAGTCAAGGTCTTTTGAACAGCAGGGAAATGAGAAATATTTCACATACGCACCGTTGGCCAAAAGCGCAAGCCGTGCGCCTAAAGAGACAGGCAATGGGCAAAGAGTTTTGCCAGCTTTTGGTTGTTTTGGTCTAGCTAGCACACAGTTATACACAGAGAAAAAAATATATAAGTTCAAATGACAAAAGGAGTATCTAAATTTTGAATGTTGGTATCAGAATGGGTAATGCATCTGAAACAAATTGGTTGTCACAAATGTGTGCTAGGAAATGTACAAGATGGTTTTGTGTAGTATGAAGTTTTTTTGCTCTGTGTTTGTGTATTTATTCCGCTTCTGCAAGTTCTTGTGACGCAATGAAAGTGAAATGGGGCGAGAGGAAGAGAAAGAACGCCTCTTGGCCAACATTTTATGCCACACACGAACACACTTTCACTATCTTCTTGTACCTCTGCTGCCCTCTACTCTCTACTTTCTACTGTTCTTCGTTTTGCGCCTTATTAAATTTTCAAACACATGCTAAACTTAACCCGAGGATGTGCTTAACCTTCCCTCTGTTTTGATTGAGTGGCCCGTAAGTGTTTGTTTATGAGCCCGGCTCTCAACCTCTACTACCAACTTTTTTACATTTTCAGCCTTTGTTATTCTGTCTTCTTAACATCTCTTTCTCGTTTAAGCCTCCAAGTGAGTGCAGTTTGTTTAGCTTTTCTTCTACTTTTCATTTCGTTTGACACCGTTTTCATTTTCAGTTGCTTTTCTGCACTTTTCTCTTTAAACAACCTTTCACTTGCAACAAATAAACGAACAACAAATTGTTCCCCAAAAAAGCAACTGAAATGAAATGATAAACTCATGCTTCCGTTTCCGCTGCGCCATTGTGCAGGCAGTTACTTCCTCTTCCTCTGGCCCTTCCTTTTGTTTTCCGTCCTCATTGAGTTGCAAATTCCTCCGTCCTGCGGCACCTTACAAAACTAGCCAGAAAAATGTTGTTCTGTCCAAATTATTTGGTGCCTCCCTTTTTTGGGCAACATTTCAGCAACGATTATCCGTGACATTTTTTTTTTTTGACATTTTTTGTTTTGTGCGGTATAGATTTGAGATAGGGATGTAAGGTCTGTTGAATAAGACACAGAGGCCATTCAACATTTGACAGAAGCAACAATGTGACTACACCAAAAGTAAAAATGCTGGGTTTTTCCTCGATATCATCAATGTTAATGAATTAGAAAGCCCATGAAGCCCATTAAATAGTCACGTGGCACATTAATCTTTAAAGTATACATCTATCCATTAAAATGCAAAGTGATGATTATGATTGAAGTCCCTCCCCATACATACATATCTTGTGATGAACAAATAAAAAAAGTCATGTGAAGCCATCAAATTTAAAAGAAAACGCGCGAGTTTAAGTGTGGGAAAATGTATGTTAAGTGCTCACTCCTGTTTATCGTGTAAATACCTGCCCAAACTGAGTGCGATGCGATGAATGTTGAGACATTTTCAAAAATCTATGTCTAAATCATTTAGTTTTAGTTGTACTATACAAACAAGTTTCCTTAGCTAGCAAACCTTCAACTAAGTATGCTCTTAAATCATTCTGTATCCCCGGAATTCAAACGGCTTGACAGCTAACGTTCGGTTGACATGTTTCAGGCCCAACATCAAGTACCAGTACTCCGCCTTGGACAGTGGCAATGGGATCGTGGAGCGAAGTCCCCGGGAGCGGGCTCAGAGGGAGAAGGCGCTGAATGCCACTCAGGAATGGATTCAGGGTGCCAATGGGCGCTACGAAGTGATTGCCCACCTGGATGAGATCGGTTCAAGACATGGCAAGAACTGGTTTCTGGTCACAGATGCCTCGGTGAGCTGTGATTTGCATGTATTTCATCCCACAGATTAATGTTTCTCCGTACTTCAGGTGCGCACGGATCGTCTGCAGACTCTGCTACCTCTGCCCGCCGACTGTGTGGCCTTCGAGGATCTCCCGCCCAACGAAAGCGCCAGGGAAATACTCATGGAGCTCCTGGGTTCGCTGCATCATCCGTACATTTACCCCGTTCTGGATTTGGGCTTTTTGCGCAACAGCTCCTATAACTACGCCTGCCTGGTGACGCCCTTCAACTCGCGGGGCAGTCTCAAAGATCTCATATATAAGGTGGGTATTTCCACTCAAGCATTTGTCAAGCGTTTTGAAGTAACACTTCTCCTCTTCCTACATACATTTCCCACTTCAGGCGCAGTGGAACGAGCCGTGGGCCAGGAAGTACACGCGAAAGCCAAATGGCTTACCGGTGAGCCAGGTGCAGCGCCTGGGGCGACAGATCCTGGAGGCACTGCTCTTCCTGAAGGAGCGCGGTTTTCCGCTTCACGGTCACCTGCACAGCGGCAATGTCATCCTGCAGAACGGGGCAGCCAGGTGAGTCCCTTGTCGATTGGGGCCCACTCAACTGTTAACTAATTTAATAATGGCTGCAATATTTGATATCGAATCGGTGGCCCCAACCCGCCCCCGCACTCCCACTGCAACATTTCAGTATTTCAGTCATTCAAAGTTCACCCAAATAGAACCGACATCGATTTCAGCCTAAATGGCAAATTAAAAGCAATTCCCCAGAATCGTTGGCCATTTCAGGGCACTTTAAATGCATGTCCTTGTTTCGGGAACCCCTTGGCCCCCTTGGCCCCTTGGCCCCACGCTATCCATGTAGCAGTTGTGCGACAACGCGTAAGCGCCACCCAGAGCAACCCACTACAAACATCGAATGGGTGTAACGAAAATAAAGCTTTAGCTTTTTGCCATTTTAAAAATAAATGGCTGGCGCAAAAAGTTGCTTATATCGCAGCAAAGGAACGGGGCTAGAAAGAGGGGGCATCTGCATGCTAGAATTCCTATAGGTGAAAGTCGATTAAAGTGCGGATTTTCTGCGTTCAAGTTTGCGCCAAGTGCATGACCCAATTTCGCTGCCTTCGTCGCCAGGGTATCGCTGTGTGCATTGAAAAGCTGATTTTCATATAAATTGCTTATACATATGTACAGCTATCGATAGGACAGGAAAGTTGAAAGACCAAGGAGAAGAAAACGGTTAAATGGAATTTAGTAAGCTGAAAATCTGATTGACGAAGTAGAAAGGAAAATACTTGCTCAACTGGGATTTATACCAGAATCTCAAGCTACTTGCAACTTACAACGTTTTCATTGTTTTATCTCAACTACAAAAACATGGCGTTTGATTGAGAATTTGGCTAAAAATACTTCTAGGCTAGCCTATTCAAGCAAACAACTATGTACCACATATAACACAGCCATTTTTATTTAACTTTTTGGAGCCCGAGGACCCTTTATCCTGAAGGCATAATTTACTGATTTTTAAAACTAATCATTGCCATCTGGCAGCAGCAGCCAATAAACTATAGCCCACGGCAACTAGCATCTTCAGAACCTCTATTGTCAGCCAATTTGGAATACCGTTCCAGCTAGTCAGCAACATTTAGCCTAATGAATACTGGCAAATGCCGGCAGGACCCTCGAACCGAAAGCCCCAACCAATCCGCAGTACACGACACTGTGTAGTGCCATAATATTGTCATATCAGGTCTGACATACGCTCTTTGTCGTAAGGACACATCGCCAGTGGGGAAAGGGATGGCAGATGATAGCAGCTGCCTCTCGCTCGCACATAAATCCATAAAAGTAGACACTTTGCGGCCGACGTGTTCACGTGCTGGCCATCAATATACAAATACAGCAGGGTAGCCATCGAATATGTTGCATAATTAAGAGCGAAACAAAAGGGAAGGAAGGCACAAGGGGACCGCCATTTAATTATGCATTTTCCGCGACATTTATTCCGTTTTTCACCCATCAGGCTATCGGGCCTGGAGAACGGCCTCCTGGGCCTCAGTTCTCGCATTAACGCCGTCATGTGGTCCCGCTCGGTCACCGAGATCGAGAACGTGGACATCGTCTGCTTCGGCCACCTGCTCTACGAGATGTGCACGGGCCAGGAGCTGACCACCCCCAAGCCGTCCATGCGGGTGCTCGAGATGGAGCTGCAGCACTATCCACAAATTGGCCAGGTCAGTAAGGTCCTGCCACGCTTCACAGCCATAGCTTCTCTTGGATTAATACCATTACCATTTTTACGTTATTATTTCTTTTTTGTTTTATTTCACAGACCAGAAAACAAGTACAGTATAGATTATTTGCTAGCATGCCATTGTTACCAGTCGACAAGACCTGCAGAGAGGTGTCGAGACGAATTATACTTAGCCTATGTAATCTTCTTGCAGATTCTGGAAATACTAGGCCTGATCTTTGAGCCGCCCAGCGGTGTCTGCCCCTCCGTTGAGGACCTAGTCCTTTGCGATCTGTTTCGCAGCATCGACTTGCGCGAGCTTCGCGGTCCCTGTTTCAGTGTAAGTACCTTCGACCTTCGCCATTCGCCACTTGGTCGGATTCATCTAACGCATGATCCGTTTACAGACAATTAAGCCGAGCCTCAGCAGGTCCACCCTGAACCTGCTGCAAGCGGTGAAGAAGCGCCAATGCGCCTCCCTGGGCCACTCCCTCAGCGAGGCCAACTCCCCCTGCACGCCCCCTTCGACGCCGCACGATCGACGAACTGGGTGAGTGCTTGCCCCAACCTAGCCTTCTTCACCTAGAGGCAAACGTGCAAGTTGTACTCTGTCGGTCACTGGCATATCTCACACTTATCCCTCACCACACACACACTGACTCATACTCGGTTCATCCTCATGTTTCTTCGGCGTGTGGGGAAAGGCAAGTCTTGTATGCTCTTCCAGAAATTTCCAATTCGGTGCAGAATTAGGGCTTCGAGTCAAGTTTGAATAGTACAAAAAGTACATAAGTACTTTAATAATACTTTAGTTGGTAAACTAGGGATTGCAATGCCTTTTAAATGTATTCCACTAGCGCCTTTAGCTTTTCTAGTTTATTTTAATTCATTTTTACCTAAAGTCTTAAGTTCTTAAAGTATTAAGTTCTCGTAGCTTACCTAATTGTAATTATTAGCAGTACTAAACTTTAGCATCAGGTGCGGCTGTTTTCACTTGTTCACAACGCCAGAACTACACGGGTTCTTTAAATGCAGATGTGTTTCACACAGTTAGGAAATTTAATAGTGATCGCTAATATGACTAAGTGATTCATCACTTGTGTTTCAACATAAATAGCGTTTGGCCGCTCTTAACAGAAAATATTTTTAGTGGATAGAATGGAATTTGAATAGGCCGCATAGGTAGGCCCCACGTTGGGCGCCAATTGTATAAGCCCGCACAGAACCGCTAATCCATTTACTGTGCACTCGCTTTTGGGGCTAATAAAGAGAAAAGCACACACACATCCGAGGAGATTTCAAACAAAAAGAAAGCAAAGAAAACTAACGCTGGGAGCCGAGATAAAGCGGAAAATGTGAAAATGTTGCCACAGGCTTGACGATGTGCGTGTGCCTGTGCGTGTCTAAAGGTAATTATGATAATGTCCTGGACTCTGCGCAGCCCGACCCGTCTACTCAAAAAACGTAGACAGAATTTAAAATTATGCATACAAGACAGGAATATAATTGAGTGATAAAAACGAGGAAACAAGAAAATAGCCAGAGAAAAAGTCCCAAAACAATAAATACAGGGAAAAGTGCTCATTTGCTGCCTCATGTATTTTTAAGCATTTCTGACCCTGTGTAAATTAACTCTGCTGCCTTTAAAAAAATAATATAATAAAATACTCAAACGCATGTTTTACTTTCATATTAAATAACAACATATGTAGTGGAGGATTTTTTCAACTAAAGTATTTTTTCCGTATGCAATGTTTTACTCTCTCTTTCTCTCCTAACGCCTACTACTACTACTACTACTCAACTTTGTTGTGTGTGTGTGTGTATCTATCTATCTTAGTGTTGCGAAAGCGCCCAGAAAACCGTTACCGTTGCAGTTCCCGTTACAGTTGCCGCTACACCAAACCCATCATCTACTACACACATACCGATCCGCTCTTGAATGTCTCTCAACGTTCATTTTTGTTTATATTACCTATGTGTGTGTTTTGTTTTTGATTTACAAACTCTTGCATTTCTGCATTTGTTTATTTACATAACCCGTTCGACTAACAAAAACCAACAACAACTACAACAACATCAGTGTTCTGCCTGCGCCCTATGAAGTCTTTCGTATGTACTAAACCAAACCAAACCAAACCGAACCGAACCGAACCAAAACCAAAGAAATCCGAACCCGAAACCCAAAACCAACAATGAACAACTCACAAATATATCTCACAATTCAAATTTACAAAACGAATATCGTGTGAAATAAAACCCAAATGAATACCTGAATAAAATTAAATTAAATCAATATACAAGCCGATAAAGCAAACACAACATTTTTTTGTACGAAAATTAATGTTTTTATGCCAGACGGAAACGAATCTAATGCTGCAAAAAGTAATTCACAGTGTTTGTTGTAGCCAAATGTGGTAAGTGGCAAAACTTTTATGTGCTCTAACCACCAAGAGAAGCTGCACCGCCCAGCAAGCAAACCAATTCGCACCACCAAATCGAATCTGCATCGAGAAGGGCCAGCAGAATATATATTTGTTTATTTAACATGTGCAAACCACATTATCCCATGTCTGTTATCTGTTGTTTACCTTGGTTTTTACGTGTGCTGGCTGGCAAAATGCAATTTAAATGTTTTCCACGCTGTAAGTTATTTGCTTAACCCTTTTCAATAAGTCCCATCTATTCAGCTTGTAACAAAAATGTTTATGTTTATGTTTATGCTTATGTTGTTTCTTGCATGCTCTACAGAAAACCATTTAGCTGGGTTAGATAGAATGCAGCCAAAATATTTTCAGAGCAGCTGCGATTGAGACCACTGAAAGCTGTTTATTGTGAAGTAATTTAATTGTAAAAACTGAAATTTGTGTTTTTTAATCATAACCTTAGATTCAGATTAAAAAGAGACTAAGCTCGAACACTACCGAATGATAGGCTAGACACTAAAACTATCCAACCGGAGTACATCATATGTTTGCTCCCTAATTGAGTTCACCACACCTTGAGATACTCGTATCTCAACAGACTAGGCGTATCTGCCTAGGAACTAATTGAGTTTTGGAGGAGCTTGAATGCAGAGCAGCCAACTTGAGCTTGATTGAAAACACGCACGTATTGACGCTTCTAGTGCAGCACACTTTCGCAGACATACTCACAATTCCATCCATGCATTCATCGCATACAATGACATGCCATGGCTTTTCTGCATATCTGAACACAAAAGAAAATCGAATCAGGTGCCGGTAGCGCAGCCGGATCGGAACGAAAAAATTCTGAAAATTCTGATTGTTATTCTCTGCCCTTTCCCACCGTATCCCACAACTTTCCCCCTTTACTCACCTGCTCCCTGTCGATCCCGCAGTATCAGCCGAACAATGGACTCATTTGACATATCAAGCGATTCGGAGGAGGGTCTCCTGGAGGAGATTGTCGTCGGTGGAAGCTGCCATCGGCAGCACCTGCTCCGCCTGCAGCAGTGGCACTCCGCCCACTCATATGTTCACTCGTATGCCTCGGAGTCGCCCATTCACTATTGCGACCCTGCGGCGGTCTATTCGGATGATAATAGCCAGGAGCCAGGTCAGGATCCCCAGCCACCGACCATTCGATGTAGCACCAGCAGTCAGAGCAATCTGGATGTGCTGCTGGCAGAGGGAGCCGCGGACGAGGTCTACGAAGAGCAGGAGGAGGAGGATTTTGAGCAGGAAGAGGAGGCCAGCGGCTCCTCGGGAACACAGAGGCTTCAGGCTCCAGCCTGCACCTCGTCGGCTGCCGGGGCCTCCTTCAACCACCAGCTCACTGCCGATATGTGCAACTACAAAAACTCGAAGAGCAGGAGGTTGGAGTACTCCCTCAAGTGTCTCAAGTACGGCCGCAGTAATCCCTCCCAGGACTCAGCCTTTGGCTCTCTGACCGACAACGACCTGTCCATTGGATCGTCCAGCATTAGGCTGAGCAGCTTTCAGTCCATTTCATCGCCCATTGACGAGGGCGTGGAGGATGTCATCATAGCCACCACCACAGGTGGCAATGAGACCTGCCTGGAACTGGCCACCATTCCCAGGAGTATGGTCTCCCAGGACTCGGCGATCTCATCGCCCTGTCGCGAGAGTTCCCCCAACAACTTTCTGCACATTGACGATGCCATGTCGGGAACGGGTTCAACTTCCTCCGGCTCGAATTGTGGCTCCTACGGAAATATACGCCCCCAGCAGTTTCCCGTCTCGCTCTCGCCAAAGATTTTGGTCACGGCCACCAGCAATTCGAGCAGCTCCTCCTTGGCATCCACTGGCAATGCGGGTCAAGGTCAGGCCCAGGGTCACGGACAAGGGCATCCCCAGCAGCAGTTCGATCCGCCCAAGATTCTTGTCAACGATCAGAACTCCATCTACACCACATCGCCCTCGAAGCGATCGGGTATGATAGAGGTGTTCTCCCAAAAATATCGGGTGAGTAACTTTAAATTAACTTTTTAACTTTAGCTTAGTTATGCCACTTAAACCAGCAAAAGCTGGCCTAACTTTTAAGTGAACCTGCTGTATTTATAAAATCCGTGCCATTGGTCTTGCGGTGTGAATGAAAGCTTAATTAGTGTCCCTTCCAGGTGAGCTCCTTCGAGGACATGTCCCCGAAGCGAACCTCCGACAAGCAGCACCTGAAGCACGTGAATCGCCTGGCCTTTCGCTCCCTGGAGGAGGAGCGTCGGATCGACAATGCCTTTCTGCCGATGGCGGATCGCACCCACTCGGACAATCGCGTGAACATGCAGAGCGAGAAGTACAAGAAGCTCACGCACGCCTCGTTCCGCATTAGCAAAGGTCAAGGTCAGGACTCGCCCACGGCCACGGCCACGCCCACCAGCCAAACGTCCCCCGGTCAGCCTGGCAACTGCATCGAGATGCAGCGAACCGGAAGGCAGACCCTCTGGCGGGACAGCAAGTTCTACCGGAAGAACAGAATCGCCAAAAGCAACGACTCCCTGATGGAGAACAATCCGTCGCCCAGGATATCGCCGTGCTCCCTGCGGGACAATCAGTACGAGAGCAGGAGCAGCTCCCAGGCCAGCAGGAGATCGCTCAGTGGTAGTCAGCAGATGCTGAGTGTCACCACCAGCTTCTGCGGCAACGGCAGTGCCTCCAGGAATTCGGCCAGGTACTGCAGCTCCAAGAGCGAGGACCTGGGCGAGTCCTCCGACTATCTGAGAGTGATGGATGCACGGAAGTCGTACTCCGAGAGGCATCTGGTGCGACTCAAGCAGACGGCCATAAACAACACGCACAGCGAGGACGATGTGAGCTTCAACGATGACAATAATCAAGCGGTATCATCGCAGGGTCAGGGGTTACGGCAATGCGGCATCCAATACAATCAGAAGGAGCACCACCAGAAGCACTATCAGGGTGGCAGGTGGAGCAGCAGCTGCTCCATTGGCGGCCACCTGAAGACGACCAATATTAAGACCACCTCGCTGTCAGCTCAGTCCAGCCAATCGAATTTAGTGGCCACCTCGGCAAGTGCCAGCCATCGCACACCATCCAAGTCCCTCGACCAGAGCATCGCCACCATCGCCACCATCGCCATCCCGAACAGCCACCCCACCACCCAGAGTAACACCACCAAGGGCAGCAGCACCACCAGCAGCGACAGCAGTAGCAGCACCACCAGCTCGGTGGACGAGTCCCCGTCTAGACACACCCTCAGCGGAGCTGACCTCTCGAGGATCTTCGTGATGGACATGGACGACGCACCGGGCAGCACGTGCAGCGAGGAGAAGACTCCCCTCCTGGACAGTGTGGAAATGTCCCCAATGAGTCCAACCGATCCGGAGGAACCCGACCTCGATAAGCTCTAATGGGCATCCCGATTACACTAAGTACACGCACATACCGATACGTTTTGAGCAGCCGAAATGCAAAGCATGTGATAGAGAAACCAAATATAAATGAAATCGAACGGGGAACCATAAAGTTATAGAACTACTAGGCTAGGTACGGGATGGTAAGTGGAGAAAGACTTCTAAAAGAGTTATCGGGATAGAGTTATTGAGTTTTACATCACACAGACGAACACTATTCATTTCTCTTTCATCTGACAAATCTGGTTTCTGTACATTTCAAATCCAAGTTATATAATTTTTCGCTAAGACCAAGTACCTTTGAAATTATTAAAGAGTCGAAAATACAAATTCGTATTTCAATCCTCCTGAAAACTCTTTTTTAGGGCATTCTCCAGTGCCAGTGTTGGTTAAGGTAAAGCAATTCTAATCTGGGTTCGACACAAACACTTACACACACCCACTCACAGTTAGATAATTGGGCTGCCCCGCCTTTGCTAAATTCACACATCCACACTCAAAGCTTTCTTCTGGTAACAATAATATTTTTCTCTTTATATTGAACTTTAGCCGATTGCTTTTACAGCAATTCGAAATAAACTAGAATACGTATTTCTTTACTAAAGCTTATCTCTAGACTGCTAAGCCACGAGACAACACAGAAAAACCAAAAGGAATACCATCCTGCTGATTAGTTGTTTTTTAAACAAATTAAAAGGAAAGCCGTTTTCGAATTATACGGAATTATACACTTTACTTGGTAGTTAATTGAATAGTTAAGACTTGAAAGCTTCGCAGCTTGGCGCATTGAAAATGTTTTACTGTAGCTTAAAATCGTTTTAAGCTCCCAGTGGAGCGTGTTTTAAATATAAATTAAAAAGGAACATATTCTAGGGAAGTAAGTCCAAAAGAACCTTAAAAGATCAAACAAAGCCAAAGAAAGTTAACCCATTGAATGGAGAATCCAAGGCAGAGTTGAAAGTATCCAGCATACGACTACATATAACGAGCAACTTAGATTTCTTTAGTCTCTTATCCTTTGTTCAGAAATGCCACATTAGCCAGCACTTCAATATCGCAACGGAAACATAAATTTTACCCCATAAGAGTTAAGCATTGTCGTATAAAACGTCAAACAATAAAACAATACAGAATGCAATCAAATTTACTAAATATCGGTAACGAAAATATCACAAAAGCCACACACAATCGAACACAAAATAAATGTACTCACTAAAGATCATATATATAGAAGATAATATTAGACGCACGCACTTGACTAAGACGATCAAGGTTCGAATCCCGATTCAAAATCCAGCCCCACCCGACCCATTTGAATAACTCAAATGATCTGCCACAGAGTCGCCCTTAGTTTGATTATTCGTAGCCGAAGAATGCGCAAAACATTGTTTATGGGACCCTCTAGAATGTACATGTATGTATTCCCAATATCTTGTAAGTTATTTTGCTTGGAATTGTTTGTGTACCCACTTATGTAGCCCCAAGAACGGAGAAGCCCTTGAGAACTAACAAATAAACGAGATAACGACGTACATTTCGAGAGTTTTCATTAATTGGTTGCTACCAGTTCTAATAAACAAGAAAACTAAATAGAATACGATTTAAGAATAACATTGTGCACTGCTTGACTACTTTTGAACTGCTTGCACGTAGTATTACTTTTGCTTAGCGGCTAATCTGTAAACTGCTTGACTTGCGTGGCGACACCTGGTGCTGGAGCTATCACTTGTAAAATGTTTTAACACAGTGTGTAAAATGTTTTAACACTGCGTGTAAGATGTAGAAACGTAATGGGCTTTAAAATTCGTAATAAATGTGACAATCTGGTAGCACTTTATTTGTGCAATACAAATGTCGTTTTCAAAAATTTATAATAAATATGACAATCTGGTAGCACTTGATTTGTATAATATAAAGTTTTTACGTTTTCGAGAATTAATACAAACCTAAATTCAATTGAATAGCAAAATGAAATTTGAAATTGATATATATATCTTTTAAGCTTGCCTGTAAGCACTAAGGCAAAAAATTATAAAATGTATTATATTATAAAATTTATAAGGTTAGTCAACCAAATTTGAGTTAAAGCTAGCTAAACAAACCATTTCTGTAATAAATATGTTATACTCTATGAAAGTGAGTTAATCAAGACATTAAATTTTGTTGAAATGCCAGATCTGCGGACTATCTAAAAACCTCGAACTGGGCAAGCGTGACCAATAAGCCTTGGTGGGAAAAAGAACTCCTTCGGCGACAGCAAGGACAAGGGGAATAGCGCACCCATTTCAAAATTTCATAATTTAGTTGCCATATTTATGATTATGTCCTGTCATGTCCTGGGCGAGGTTCTATCTCCTCGCTGTTGCGCCGTGCACCCAGCATCCTAAACAAACAGTCGATGAGCATATGACAGCAAACTAATAAAATGTACCACCCCTCCTACCTCCTACCATCGAGGGTAGCGTCCTTCGTCCTGTCCGCCGCGCTTTGTCCAGTAAATTTGTCCATTGTTTCAGGAGCTGCAATTATGGGATTTCGGCAATTTTACGGACAGCGAAACGAAACTGGACGGTGGTCAGTTCGTCTAACAATATAATTTACAGCGCTTTTGTGTAGCGAGGCGTGAATTTACTACTCAAAACTGAACCCCCTGCGAATTTACAGTCCGACTCTAGTCCAGTTAATCGCATTTGTTGGTTTTGTAATTATAATACCGGGCACTGGAAATGATTTTAGCATTTCAATTTGTACAGGCAACCGCAGTGTTCGACCCCTTTCCCCGGCCACTTTCCATTCTCAAATTGTATCCCCCGCGCAGGCGCAGCTGCTGCTTATCCTCCCTTTTCGGCGCGTGCCGTTCGCAGCAGGACACTGTGTCCATCCACATCCTGGTAATGTTTTCCCTCGGTTTTTCACCTTTTGAGTGCCAATTTCGCTGCCTTTGGTTTGTGCAGCAAAAAGGATTAACAGGACTTCTCGCGGTTGCCTTTGTGCTCGGCCAATTTACCGTGAAATTCACCGCGCTTCTCTTTTTCGACTGCGTTTTATTGGGGCAGCATTTGGTAGCCACACTGCGTTTTCCTGCCCTTTTCCGAACTTTTCCCCGTTTTTTGCGCCCATTTGTCAATTGTTTTTGTCGCGGTGAAAGTGACAAATTTCCGGTGTCCCATCTGAAGATTTATGTCCCGTTCCAACCATTCAAGTGGCTCAGTGGTTGAGTGGTTGAGTGGCTTGGTGGTGCCAGGCACATTGTTTCTATCTCTCTAGGGTTGAGGGGCGTGGCTGGTGTGCGATCGAAAGTCAGCCGAGTAGATTTATGTGTTGCATCTACAATTTACAGGCAGACGATCGCCGAGGGAATTCAGTCTCGGTTGGTGTCGAAAAAGGTGCGAAAAAAGATACGAATAGCAACCATTTACAACCAAGGGAACATCGAAATATATCTCTGCACTGCCAGTTATTACAGGGGAATCCTCACATCATCCCACCAATATCATCATTTTAGTATCCCTTTGAAATATACTTTTCTGCAAATTGCCACAGAAATTCAAAATCAAAACCGGGCAATGTCCAGCGACCCGTTCTTGAACATGGTCAATGCCATGTCCAGTGTCCGATTTCCACTTGGCCATTTTCACAGCTCGACGAGCAAGTGTTTTTGCCGTTTAGCTGCACTCCGTTTTCCGCACACGCAAAATTATTCTCGCATGAAAATTGAAAAACATGTTCGCGTCCCGCGGGGGAAACTCAATACGCGTGTGCACCAACATTGTCATTCATTCACTCACTCATTCACCAAGTCACCTATACCTATTCATTCAAAATGCTCGAAAGCGCATGTCGATTTTTTAATTAAAAAATATTTTCAATCGCCTGGCCGGCCAACTGCTGGGAAATTAGCCTCAAGTGTCTCGGATTGTCAAGCTGTGCGCAAGCGCAGTTCAGTTCTCAAGTCCTTTTCGAGTCACTGGCGCCTGTCCAGCTGTCCATAAATCATCCATCTATTCCGAAATTTCGTAACGCCGATTTCCCTATTTTTACGGCCTTTTTACGAGTGCCCCCTCGTGTTGACCTCCTACGTTCGAGGGATGGTTAATCGACCTTAGTCAAAGTTTTGTCAACGTTTATTTACGAGCCTCGCTGTTTTTTGGTGGATGATTCTGATTTTTTGCTACTTATACATGCCAACATGCCAACTGGACAGAGTGAAGTGCCGCGATGTGTGCATTAATGAATTTTTGCTGTTTTGCTATTTTAAGAGATGTTAAGCTGCATGTACATGTTTGTGGAGGGAGGGAAAATAAAAGTTTGATTACGTCCTTTGAAAATACATGGGCATAATTAAACATGTATTTGGAATTTTGACTTTCTGAATATTAGAACTCACTTAGGTTTGAATGTCGAACCGCATATTATTTGATCTTTTTTTTTAAACCTGTTCGCACAATTTTCAATTGTTTTTCATGAAAAGCATTGATACATGCATTAATACCTATTGTTTGATTTCGTTATAGCAGTTTAATTCATTTGTGTTATGTCCACTTAACATAATATCGGCTGTATTTATACCCCTTACTCGTAGAGTAAAAGGGTAGGCTAGATTCATTGAAAAGTATGTAACAGGCAGAAGGAATGTTTTCGACTATATAAAGTATTTCTCGTTTGCACTTCCACTAGCTGAGTATCCGATAGTCGCGGAACTCGACTACAGCATTCTATCTTGTTTTGTTTTACTTTCTGCACTAATTTCCCAAATTAACATCAAAATCATCTCAGCAGCACGCCTGTCATAATGAAACATTATTATGTAATTAAGTGCATACAGCTCCCATTAACAAATTGTTTGTTTAGCTCACTCACTGTTTGATTAATGGGTCGATGCCAAAAGTAAAAACTTTCTTTTATATTCGTCGCCCCACGAAAAGCAATTAATGTACAAATGTATTATTGATAGACACGTCAAGTATCCCATCATCGTGATGATACACAACATCATCAACGTAATTATCATCTTCATTGACGGCCCGAAATCTTGGACTTAATTTTAATATTCAAGTGCGCCGCAATTGATTTGTTGTTTTTTTTTTTTTGTGAAAATACCAATTTCGATTTCAACGCACGTGCGAGCGATTAATTTTTATACACTTTTTTTGCAGGTCTCCTTTTTTCGGGTGCCATTGTGATCCTTCCTTTTGAAATATCCTGCGGTGCCTGCTGATTTTATCTGTGTCCTCTTATGAACTTTTTCTTGCGCTTCATTTGCACCTTTTTTATTCGTCATTGCTTTTTTTGGCATTTAATATAAGCCGCGCCTGCAGTTGTCACCCGTGCAGAATCGCAAAAGTAGAAAATACTTTTAATCGAGAAAGTAGACAGGGAAATTCACGCTTGGCTGTTACGCGAAATTAAACGCCCGATAATTATCTGTCGATTGTACTGCAGTGATAGGAATTAAGTCCCCAATCGAAGAAGAAGTTGCTTCAAAAAACAGGTTGCATTACAGGGGTATTACCAAAAATGCGAAACTTATTTAAGGCTTTTGTAATACAACAAACGAACTTACCTTTGTAAAAATATAATGATTTATGAGAAGTTACTCCTTATTTTAAAGAGTTCATGTATCAAGGAACCCGATTTCTTATAAAATATGAACTGTAAGGATCCTTTCCAATACGCTGTGAATAATGATATCGTCAAATGCTCAAAATAGTTTTCGAATGATTCAAGGTTGATCTGCAGATTATGGTATGTAAGCAATATATCTGTTTAGAGGCTTTATGGAAGACTCCCACTTCTGGCCCACCCGGCCACGCCTCTCACCCATATTAACCCTTCAGCGACCACCCCGAAAAGTAGGAATACTCGGATTCCCACTCGCGTTTGGCGTGCAAATCCCGACAATTATGCGGGTTTTAAAATGATTGCTAACCCAAAGCTGCTGCCCGAGCCCCGTGGCTATTTGCGTAACTCCCCGGCATCAGGATGCTGTCTATATTAAATGGAATTGCCATGTACATTACATTTTCACGGCTGAGCTGAGCGGACACACCTCGTCCGTATGGAAGATCGCTCCGGGGCAACTGTATCCGAGGTCCGTGGTCCGTGGGCCGTGGTCCATAAACGCAATCAACCACTCCAGAGTCCAAGAACAAAAGGAGACGAGCGCTTGGAGCTGGTAGGAGTTGCTCGAGTGGTGTCTGTACATTTGCAACAGATTTTTTCAAGTGCAGGCGACCACTTCAGGGCGGCCAACCCTCCCGTGGCCCCTTCCCACTATTATTTTTAACCCTTTGCTGGTAATTTATGCAAATTAAAGCGCACTCCATTTCGCGCCATCACATAAAAAAAAAAGAAAAACAGAGAAAACAAAAATACGTCGAACAAAAAACACATATTCTGTACTTTGATTTGTTGTTTGTTTGGCTGTTGTCCGCTGGGCGCAGGCGCAGCTACAATTGTTAATTGTTTCGCTTTAGTCGTTATTTCGAAAAGGAAACGGAAGTGCTGGAGTTCTGAAAACCCAGACAGAGG